ATGTGACACATTTGTGTATTAAACTGCTTATTGTTCGTTTCCCTCCTATAATCCAAAAACCTCCTGCTCTGACAGCTCCTTCCGTAAAATGCCTGCCTTGATGGTGCACCTTTTCGTGAAAGTATTTTATTATGAGATGGGACAAGTGGTGTTTGCCAGGAATGAGAATGGGGTTTGTTTCATCTGACTGTAACTGAGCACTTTTATTCAGGCGCCCACCAACTCTAAGTATGCCATTAGCATCAATGAATGGGTTCAGTTTGCTAAGTGAGCTTGTGTTTTTTAGAGGTGCTCCTTGTTTTATCTGCTTTATTTCCTCTCCAAAAAGCTCTCTTTGGACAGTCTGAATGACTGTGATTTTAGCTTGGTCAAGTTGGTGTTCATTTAAGTGCTCACTGCATTTGTGCCAGCCGTAACATGTGCTCCCAGGATTGTTCTTGAATGACTGGGCAGTGTGTTTGAGTTTAGCGACGGCTTTGAGCAACACATTCCAACTCGAAAAACGTTCAAATCTTGCACTACCAAGCTTGCCTTTTGACAGAATGGTGGCACAGGTAGTAACCTCAGGACGCAGCTCGCCATCGGTCTCTGGATGTACAAGATCAAATGTCTGTGTCTGTACGGGACTCTGCTTTGAATTTTGTGAGAAAAGTAGGCCCGCTGAGCCATGTGGAGTTAGAGAGCTGCTCTGCAGGTAACGCACGTGTGGCATGATCAGCTGGATTCAAATGAGTGGGAACGTAATTCCACTGGTGAGGTTGAGAGAAACGTCTGATACGTTCTACTCTATTGTGGACATATACGTAAAAGCGCCTCTTTTTGTTTGAAATGTAACCAAGCACTACTTTTGAGTCTGTGAAAAAGTTCACCTGGTCGACTTTGATGTCTAGTTCATCCAAAACCAGCTCTGCGACCTCGACGGCCAGTACCGCTGCACAGAGTTCAAGCCTTGGGTATGGTTGTGTCTGGCTTGGGGGCGAGTCGTGCTTTTCCGAGAAGAAAGCCCGCTTCACAGTGCCCGTCTGAATTTGTGAGCTTGAGATAGGCGACGGCACCCACGGCTTTGATGGAGGCATCACAAAAAACAATGATCTCTTTCCTTTTAGCTGCGGACAGCGGTATTGAGGTGTACATTCTGGGAATTTCAAGCTGTTGTAAGTGTTTGAGAGAACCTTTCCACTGCTGCCACTGCTCTAGTTTTGCTCTTGGCAGTTCTGTGTCCCACTCAGTCACGTTAGTGGAAATGTCTCTTAGTATGTTTCGGCCTTCTACAATGACCGGAACGGCAAAACCAAGGGGGTCGTACACACTATTAATGACTGATAGTACTCCTCGTTTAGTGAATGGTTTGTCGTTTACTGTTACCTGAAACTTGAAAAGATCTGTAGCAAGGTCCCAACCCAAGCCTAGACTGCGTTGCATGGGAGGAGACGTCTGGCCAAGCTCAAGACCCTGTGTGTCTGTTGCGAGGTCCTCAGGTGGGAATGCACTGGTGATAGCGGCACAGTTAGATGCAATTTTATGCAGGCGTATGTTGCTCTGTGCCAGCATTTTCTGAGCTCTACAAAGCACATCTACTGCCTCATCTGCTGAAGAGAAAGATTTTAACGCATCATCAACATAAAAATGACGTTCAATAAACTCTCTTGTGTCACTGCCGAATTCTGCTTCCCCTTCCTTAGCTATGTTCTTCAGCCCATAAATAGCAACTGATGGGGAAGGGCAGTTTCCAAAAACATGGACTCGCATTCTGAACTCCACTATTTCTCCATCCAGGTTATGGTTTTTGAACCATAGAAAGCGCAGATAGTCACGATGGTCTTCTCTGACCAAAAAGTTGTAAAACATCTGCTCTATATCTGCCATAATTGCACATGGATCAGACCGGAAGCGTAACAGAACTCCTACAAGACTGTTGTTGAGATCTGGCCCTTTTAGTAGCACATCATTAAGAGAGATATTGTCACATTGTGCGCTTGAATCAAAAACTACCCTAATCTTTCCTGGCTTTTGTGGGTGGTAAATGCCAAAAGTAGGAAGATACCAGCATTCTTGGTCAGGCGAGAGTGGAAGGGCAGGTTCTGCATGGCCTTTGCTAAACATTTTCTCCATAAAGTCAACATAATTTCTCTTTCATTTCAGGTTTCTTTTTCAGTGTTTTGCGGAGTGACATTAAGCGCTTAAAGGCTAGTTCCCTATTGTTGGGCAGACGCTGTCTGGGGTAGCGAAATGGAAGTGGAGCGACCCAGTTATTTGTTTCGTCTTTAACTAGTTCTTTTTGCATAATGTCCAAGAATAAAGCATCTTCCTCAGAAAGTGCTATCTTATCATCATCTGTTGTTTGTTGGAAAAGTTGTGCGCCCAGGTCACTTTGGTGTGTGAGTTGAATGGGACATTCTGAGTATTTCTCTTTGATGTGGATTGCGCTCATACATGGAGTGAAGAGGCTTGTACGGCCATTGCTGAGGATATTGGTCTTAAAAGAGTTCACAGTGGGCTTGTGAGCACCTGACAAGCAGACCTCTCCTACGACTACCCACCCAAGGTCAAGTTGTTGGGCATAAGGTGCATTGTTGGGGCCGTTTACCTGACAGCGGACCTTGTGGGCCTGAATGACATCTCTTCCTAGGAGGAGAAGAATGTCTGCTTTTGGATCCAGTGGGGGGATCTGCGCTGCGATCTGCTGGAGATGAGGGTGAGCAGCCGCTGCTTCCGGAGTTGGTATCTCGTGTCTGTTATCTGGAATCTGGTCACATTCAGTTAATGTGGGAAGTAACATAGATACTTTCCCATTAATATGTTCGATAACAAAGTCGTTAGCTCTGCGTCCTCCTGTGTCAGATATGCCAGCACATGTTCTCATGGTGTATGGGAGAATTTTGCCTTGCACATTAAACATATCGAAGAAGGCCGACCTCGCTAGGGACGTATTGCTTTGGTCATCTAACATTACGTACATTCTACTTTTCTTCTCAGGAGATGTACGTGGGTACACATTTACAAGGCATATCTTAGAGCATGATTTACCTTGAAGGCCTGGACCGCATATTCCTGTGCAGCTGGCTGTAGTGACAGGATTTGGAGCATCAGGCTCCCCGCCATGGTTCTGAGGCGGAGGAACAGATTCTTTAGGAGTCCACGGTGGTGAACCCGCATGCATGGCAGACACATGTAAATCACTATTGCACTCTGAGCAGTGTATGACGGCTTTACAGTCTTTAGCTCTGTGACTGGTAGATGAACAGCACTTATAACATATAAAGTGTTCTTTAAGAAGACTCTTTCGTTCATCCAATGGTTTCATTCTAAACCCTCTGCATCTTGCAAGTGAATGTGGCTTATGGTGAATGGGACATTGCTTGTCTGGATTTAGAGTAACAGTTGTATCATTACTGCTAGCTTTGCCTATCTCAGTCTTATTCACTGCCACGGGAAATCTGTCTGTCTTATTTGTTTAAATGGAGTTTTGTCAACTTTTGGAGCTGATATGTTTATACTATGCAACATGAAACTTGGATCTGTTTTCATTTCTGCATGGTCATTCACAAACTGTACAAAGTAGGAGAATGGAGGATAGAATGCATTATTGTCTCTTTTGTACTTTGTTCCTTGTTTGACCCATGACTCTTGTAAACCATATGGGAGCTTCTCAACAATTGGGTTTATCCCTCGTGGAGTGTCAAGAAAACTAAGCCCTGGCAGATAATTTTCATTTTGGGCATACTCTAACTCGAGCAAAAGATCTGCGAGCTCCTGCAGTAAGCGTGTGTCTTTATTAGATATTTTTGGAAAGGACTGTAAACGCTGGAACAGTGATGCTTCGATTACCTCTGGAGAACCATAACTTTTATCAAGACGTTGCCAGAGGCGCTGAAGACCTGCCTTTGGGTTGTTCACGTGGACTGCTCTGATTTGCAGAGCGTGTTGAAGTGACTCCCCGCCGAGCCATTTGGTGAGTAGGTTGAGCTCTTCAATGGCTTTGAGGTTGAGCCCCTGAGTTGCATTGTAGAACATGGATTTCCAGGATAGGTAGGACTCTGGCTTGTTGTCGAAAACGGTGAACCCCGTGTTGGTTGTAGTCTACTTTGTGATTGTCGTTTTTGCGGGATGCTTGCTTGGTTTCAATATTTACTTCTTCTTTCACAAGTTCTTTGTCATTATTGAAGTGAGTGTCTACAAAGTCCTGTGCGCGTCTCAAGGAAGGAGGTGTTTTTACAGGAATGCCAGTAGCTGCCAGGACAACAGCACTATGAACTGCTTCATCAGCTGCTGCTTCTAGGACTTGAGCTGCCGCGAGCGCTGCTTCAGCTTCACCCTCAACCTTCAGAGCGTTTAATGTTGCCTCAAGGCGTGCCTTCTCAACTTCTATGTCTATTTGGCGTTTGGCGTACTGGGCTCTGGTGCGGGCAGCTTCTGCGTCTGCTCGTGCTCTTGCTGCAACTTGACTGGTGTTTGACCTGCTTGAGCTGCGTGACATGCACTCCGACCTGATTGCAAGCTGGGAGACGGATGGTGACTCTCGTGCTTGCGACATCTTGAGGCTTTGTGTATCTTGACGTGAAGATAATCTTTTTACTCTTCTGGTTTCAGTTGAGTGTTTCACTAACTCAACCTTATCAGCGAGCTTAACACAAAAATAAATGGGACGCAGGAGAACTGTGGTCTCTCCATTTCTTATTATTATTTTGTAAAACTGTAAATACATACAAAAACATGTATTAGTACAAAAATCAAAAGAAAAAGATGTGTCTTACACACATTAGTAACATATACTGTAATTAACACCACTAGCATTGATAGCAAATTAGCATAGCTGGCTCACAGGAAAAACGAATTGTAAACAAACTAAATACATGTTGATTCTACACAACTGAAAGGCTCTGTAACATTCAAAACACTCACAGATTATGTCTTGCCAAAGATACAGCAGAAAAAACGGGTGGTAAAAGGGCACATAGAGGAGCGGTTCACGGGTGAACTCCTCTTGTGCTGGACTCAAAATGGAGGACTCTGCCTGCTGCTTACATCTATTCACCCATAGGTGGCTCCACCACAAACAAAACGCAAGACGCAGTTGAAACTAGAAATGGTACAATGGCTGAAGCCATTGTGAGTGGCTGCATAGATGTTGGAAGGGTTAGGGATGAAGAAGGAAGAGGAAGAAGAAGGAAGAAGAAAGAAAAGGAAAGAATAGGAAAGAAGAAGAGGAAGAGGGGGAGAAAGAAGAAGGGGAAGAAGAGGAAGAAGAGGAAGAAGAGGAAGAAGGGGAAGAAGAGGAAGAAGGGGAAGAAGGGGAAGAAGAGGAAGAAGATAAAGAAAAGACAGAAGGGGAAGAAGAGGAAGAAGTGAAGAAGATGAAGTAAGAAGAATGTGTTGTAAAGGGCTGAAAGTGTTGTAAAGTGCTAAATGTGTTGTAAGGTGTTGTAAAGTGCTAAATGTGTTGTAAAGTGCTGAATGTGTTGTAAAGTGCTAAATGTGTTGTAAGGTGTTGAATGTGTTGTAAAGTGCTAAATGTGTTGTAAGGTGTTGAATTTGTTGTAAAGTGCTAAATGTGTTGTAAGGTGTTGAATTTGTTGTAAAGTGCTAAATGTGCTGTAAGGTGTTGAATTTGTTGTAAGGTGCTGAATGTGTAGTAAGGTGTTGAATTTGTTGTAAAGTGCTAAATGTGTTGAATTTTTGTTAAAGTGCTAAATGTGTTGTAAGGTGTTGAATGTGTTGTAAAGTGCGAAATGTGTTGTAAGATGTTGAATGTGTTGTAAGGTGCTAAATGTGTTGTAAGGTGTTGAATTTGTTGTAAGGTGTTGAATGTGCTGTAAAGTGCTAAATGTGTTGTAAGGTGTTAAATGTGTTGTAAAGTGCTAAATGTGTTGTAAGATTTTGAATGTGTTGTAAAGTGCTAAATGTGTTGTAAGGTGTTGAATTTGTTGTAAGGTGTTGAATGTGTTGTAAAGTGCTAAATGTGTTGTAAGGTGTTGGATGTGTTGTAAAGTGCTAAATGTGTTGTAAGGTGTTGAATTTGTTGTAAGGTGCTGAATGTGTTGTAAGGTGTTAAATTTGTTGTAAAGTGCTAAATGTGTTGTAAGGTGTTGAATTTGTTGTAAAGTGCTAAATGTGTTGTAAGGTGTTGAATGTGTTGTAAAGTGCTAAATGTGTTGTAAGGTGTTGAATTTGTTGTAAGGTGCTGAATGTGTTGTAAGGTGTTGAATTTGTTGTAAAGTGCTAAATGTGTTGTAAGGTGTTGAATTTGTTGTAAAGTGCTAAATGTGTTGTAAGGTGTTGAATTTGTTGCAAAGTGCTAAATGTGTTGTAAGGTGCTGTAAGTGTTGTAAGATGTTGTAATGTATTGTATCTGTGGTGATGAATTGTTAGTGTGGTAATGTGTTGTATGGGGAGTAATCTGTTGTACTGGTCCAATGTAAGTCTATGGGAAAAAGTGCTTGAACTTTTGTTAATATCTGAAAAAGTGCTAAAGGTGGAAGTGTGAAAAGTAATAGCAATAATGAGACGGTGAAGCCGGTCGTAACGATGTATAATTTGTTGAATTTGGTGAAAGCGTTGAAGAGTTGAAAAGTGCCAAAATCTGGCGGAAGTGGAAGAAGAAGAAGAAGAAGAAGAAGAAGAAGAAGAAGAAGAATAAACAGTAGGAGAGCATATAGTGGCTGCATAGTCTATGCAGCCACTCAATAAAACAGAGAAAGATGGCAACCAAATAGCAAACTCCCATGGTTAAACAAGGAATTACATCAGCTTTTTATAAAATAATTCTGCTTAGGGAAACATATCAAACTATGAGGGACAGAATACTAATCGTGTACACTTGTCCCTATCAAATGAATGAATCAATAAAATACAATAAATAAATTAGTATAGAACAATTATCTGAAAATGCAGGTGCTTGATTTAGATTTAGCCCCTAAGAGATGTTTCAATTGATAAAAAAGAAGTGTACAAGAACATTTTAAACCACTTTCCAATTTGACCAAGTATTTACAATATTCGAAAAGCAATTTAGAGAGTACAGGATAGCTTTGTGATCCTGGACCCCAACCACACTTCAAATTTGTACTATGTATTTTAGTGGTACATCACACTGCACTAAATGGAATCATACTGGATACCTACAAATATACTATATATATAATATAGATTGGATGACATTACAGTATAGAGTATAGACCATACTTGCATGCAAAAGCCAGATCCTGTCAGACCTCTATAGCTGTGCAGACCAGGCCTGGTTAATACTGTGATGGGAGACCTCTGGGAATACCGGGTGCCACAGTAGGGCAGCTGCGGCTGTAAAGTGCCACATTGTTGTTGTTTTCTTCACAACCTCATTGGCCAGTACGTGGTGGTCAAAGGGACTGATGGCACATACTGGTTGCCTCGCTTCTGTCAGTGTGCCCCAGGGCAGCTGTGGCTACAGTAGCAGTTTATCACCATTGCGTATGGAGTGAAAGAATAATGCCATGTGAAGCATCTTTGAGTGTCCAAGAAAGCGCTATATATAAAACCAATGCATTATTATTGTTATTCGACTTCTTTTTTTTTTACAGGGGCCCCATAATTTGATTGCCCTGGAAGTGTCACCCATGCTGAAAACACATAAGACACTGTTAATTAGAAAAGAATAATATAATTAAAGAAAAACCCTCAGACTGTTAGGACGAACAAAATGGCAGACCCAAGGATGCAGGAAACAGTATTTATTTAACAGAAGTAGAGGGTGGGTTCCTGGGTGGCAGATGTGGAGAGGTAGACCGGGCTATATCAGGTGGAGGATGAAGGTGAACTGGAGCTGGACACACCAACGGTACTGGAGAAAAACAAGAACGCGGGTAAGTACAGGAACAGGTAAGTAAAGTAGTCAAAAAGGCAAAGCGTAGCACCACTTCTCATGACGGAACGATCTGGCACTGGAGAGCAGGTCTGCATGGCTTTTGACTGTTGATTGTGATTGTGATTGTTGCTGGTGCAAGTGCGCAGCTCCCCAGGTGCAGGTAACGAGGAGTCTCAGGAAGGGAGGAAACAGGAGGGGAGGGGTCGAACAGGAGGAGCTGGGGAATGAGCTGCAACACAGACTGTTACAATAATCAACATGTCATAATTTTAATGGCAAAACACAAACTCACTACACCCAGAAATGCAATTAATCAGAGTAGACCCCACCCCACTTCTTTTCTAATTCCTTATTTTTTTTGTTTTGTAATGTAAACATGTACTCTATATGCAATTTGTCTAATACAAATAATGGGGGGGAGGGTGGAGTATTGTTAAGTATACAGGACATTCATATGGTTGGCACTATAGATCTCATACAGAATCATTTCGGAAGCGGAAGTAAATCACCAACAGCCTAACCTAATAGATCCATGCCTAAACTTAACCAGCCATTCCCATAGAATATCCCAAACCCACCCTTAACCCTAACCTTAACCATCTTACTCAGACGCCTAAAACTTAACCAGTCACCACTTAAGGACCTATTTTTGTATTATGGGGGTACACTATAAGAAATGAAACATAGGGGTTGTCAAATTTAGTTAATATTTTTCTTTTCAATGTAGTTACAATTGTTAATTTTGGGGTTGTAATTAATAATGTTTCATTGGATTTAATTAAGTTCAAACATTGTTATTGCTATGTGATCGAACTATTTTGAATGTATTGAACATCGCCTTTTCCACACCCCCTCTGAGCATGCGCCGTCTCCAGTGTCCAGCATCCACTGCCATCGAGTTCTTGTCATGCGCAAAGTCATGGGTAACGTCATCATCATGCAGGTTTGGGTAATTACTTCTTTATTATTATAAGTGGTACTATTATTGGTATTATTAAGTGGTACTTTGGGATGATATGTTGGGTATTTCATTCGTAAATACTGCCTGTAAATGTACAGTATGTGCTTTGTCATGTTTTGTCGCAGTTGATAGCTAGCTTAAAATCCTTTTTTATGTTGTTCCCACTGAATATATTGTACTTTGTGGCAGTATATGGCAATCTGTACTATTATGAAACAGTAATTTGACTATTAGACGTTGTTGTACTTTCCCCAACTGTGTGTAAAATAGCATTCAAAAGCTATAAAGCACACTTTAAAAAAACATGATTCTAGCAACTCTGACTATCACAGTGTTAAAATAACACTTATAATGTTAAAAATAACTCAGAAATATTTCACCCTGTGTTTTTAACACGTTTGCTGTGTACTGTACAATAAACATGCAGCTCTGACATTGCCCTCTAAAATGGACCACTATTTTCTCGTGCTCCGTGAATGAGTGAACTCCAGAAAATACTCACAAAAAAGTAACAAAGATGAAGGAATGAGAAGTGTTTCCTCCGGCTGTCAATCAGTCACAAAGCTGATTACATAGACAGAAGAAAAACACATTCTAACAGGTTTTTTTTATGTTCGAGAAAAATATGGGGGAAAAAATGGAGAAATGCAACTGAGAATTGGTCACTCAATAAACACAATTAGACCGAATCAAATATTCAGCACAAACTCAACAACAATGAAACGTACGCAAAACTATAACTCTGAAACTACACTGCGCATTCATCCATTCATCCATCCATCCATTTTCTTCCCCTTAATCCATTTCTGGGTCGGGGGGGTCGCAGTCAGAGCTGCATCCAGTACACTTAGCACCAGCCCCTCACTGATCCTCCTGCAGGTGGTGAGTCCACAGGAGATGCGCTGTCCACTGCGCATTCAAACCAAGGGAATTCTGGATATAATCCCCAAAAAGTTTCCCCCCCAGTTTTTATTAAAAGTCAGAAATGTATACATATTTTTCCCTTTACTCATTTTCACTAAGAGCTAAAACTGGTAATCTGGATATCTGTACTAAAGAAAACTACATGCTAACTGCAGGTAAACAGTGTGTTGCTATGGTAACTAGCACCGGCTCCAGTGGCCCACTCCAGGCCCAGTCCAGGCCCACTCCAGGCCCAGTCCAGGACCAGTCCAGGCCCACTCCAGGCCCAGTCCACACTCACACAGACGCAGGAGTCCGTGTGTCATATGAATAACATATAATTAGGGCTGTCAAAATTATCGCGTTAATTCACATTAATTAGTTATGGCGGCACGGTGGCTGAGTGGATAGCACTCTCGCCTCTCAGCAAGAAGGTCCTGGGTTCGAATCCCGGCCGGACCAGGGCCTTTCTGAGTGGAGTTTGCATGTTCTCCCCGTGTCTGCGTAGGTTTCCTCCGGGTACTCCGGTTTCCCCTACCACTAAAAATATGTACAATAGGTCTGGCATGCGCCTCCTGTTCGGCGACCCCGCTCCCATCTCTGTGTGGAGTGAGAGGACAAGTGCCCAAAAAAATAACAATTGTA